TATTCCATAACATGTATTGATAAGATTTTGGTTGCTGAGCTTATAGTGAAAAGTTTAAGATTTGGTTGAAAACGTTTTGGTGTTACTTTTTTCCTAATTGTTTGCAATAAATATTAGCTAAATGGAATTTCAGAAGGACAGAAATTGGCCAGTGATTAATCTTTGACACACCCAATTTCATAGGTTAGCTTTATTAATTAGACTTTATTATTTTTGTTAAGACCTATGCCTGTTGAATCTGATAAACTACAGAAGTCCTTTGAAATCTGATCATTTCTAGAAGTTTGGAATTGCTAATATCCGTGAGTGGAAATTTTAGGAGTTCTGGATCCAAAATTTTTCATGGCATTGCATTCAGGATGACTGTAATATAGAATTACCATGAATTAGGACTGTCATATTTGGCTGCAGAAATGCAGACAATCACTACAAAACAATAAAGAATTATAATAGAGGTAGTCTCCCTTGCTGACTGGTTTGTTCACTGACTATTTGAAGTTATGACAATGCTGAAGAAATAACTTTATAATTAATGCCTACATTTACAACCTTGCAGCATCCCTCAATCATGTGATTGCCAGTATGCGTTGTCCTGTGCCTGATCTGTCATTTCCCCCTTTTTCTCACACAGTGGACAATACACATCAATAGCAACAAAATGGTGCTGACAGCCCTGAGCATGCTGCACAAACAGCCTGGTGTTTTCCTCATTCTGTGTCTGCTTACTCTCTTGTAATTGCTTCCTGTTCAATGAAAGTAAATACAAACATTAATTTCTTCCTTGTTAATTATCCCAGCATTGTAGGGAGCATTCCAAAGGGTGGGGAAGAAGGCAAACAAAAGTAGAATATGCATGGTTAATCTTCTGCTGAGAATACTGTGGGTAGCCAAAATCATGAATCCAAGAGCAAATCAATTCTGAATTCTAACTCAAGACACTGGTACTAGGGCTGGGCACAATTTATTTGACAAATTCCTAATGCTGGGAGAGGTAGAAGGGAAGATAAGGCAACCACCAGCAGCTAGGTAGATAGATTCAATTAGAATGGCATTGGGAGTCCTGAGAGGCCATGTTGGAATAGATTATCCTGATAAAGGTTTAGCTTTGTTAAGAGTAAATACAAACTGGATGGTATATCATTAATTTAGGAACAGTACAGACCCATACTTGACTACTGAATGCAGATAATCCTTGTTTAATCATGCAGTAACTTTGCAAGCCATGTCCGCAATTACATCCTTTGCAACATCGGTCTCTATGTAATGTGTTTGCAATTGCAGTCAATAAGTACACATCCTATGCTTGATCCTTTTTTGACCTCTCCCACCCCAATGTGGCGAATTTGGTCTGGATTTCCAGGAGAGTGGGGAGCTGCTTCCCAGAAGACAAAGAGTCAATGGAGCTTGGAAAACTTGGTTGACAGGTTAAAATGGCTCCTCTCTAACAGTTCCCAGAGTATATAGTTATTCAGATAGTTGCTTTGGTTTGGCAAGATTATGCCCACAATGAAGAAGAATAAAGAAACTGCTCAGATATAACTCCACATGTCATTCTTGAGGCCTGACACATACAGAACAAAGAGATTGCTTAAACAACCTATCTCTTCCTGAGAAGCTTTTCTCTGAAGCATAATATGTCCCTAAAAAGTGCAAACCACAAATTAAAAAGCTCAGCTTTGTCACATTAATTACTTTGATTAGAATCTTCCTGTCAGCTTACAGCTGTTGCCTGAAATGGACAAGACCTTAATTAGTTTCACACTAAAGGCTTTCTTTCAACTCCTAAGTAGCTCATGGCAAGCATACTAGGCAAACAGTTGTTGTTAGCGCATTCCTTTCTGTGTGTATTGCCCATCATGTACCACTGGTAGGGTGTGTCATTTAAAGGTGTGAAAATTAATTATTGCATTTTTTTTTCAGTGAGGGTTCTAAAAATGTGTTTTTACTCCAAGAATTCAAATCTGCAGTATTTTTTTGCAATTGCATAATGTTTATTTTGATCTGGTAGATCCATGTCTGATCATATTCCCCACCAACACTGTTAACTTTATTTTCTTTATTATTATACCTTGTGCTACAAAAATTAAAGGTTTTTTTCTGCATGAATCTTAATCTAGCTAAGCAAAAAATAACCCACGGAATCATAAACTAACATCAGAAAGCAATTATCTGAGTTACAAAAATCTTTAAGTGAGTTTCATCAAGTTTTGTTTTGATTTGTTCTTCGGCATCAGCTGCTGACTTGCTTCTTGGCCTTTGATATAACCCTCACATTTCTCATGTGTATACACTCTGCTTGCTGCCTCTGTGACCTGTTTCACACGTCTCTCTATTTATTGGGTATGACAAGGCCACTGTGGTACTTGCACTGGTTCATCAATAAACTTTATTTCCACTGTAGTCAGTTTGCACGTCAAAGGTGGCTCATATACACCTTCAGACCAGTCAATTGGCTCCGACAGAGTGGATGCTCTGGTTTGACCTGTACCCAGTGCATGGCACCACCTTCATAACTAGTATTAACATTTGTAGAATCTCCTTCAGTGGCCTTCAAGCTTTTGTCAATGCCTTTCTTCTTCATGATTATCTGCAATCACTTGAACAGGTTTTCCTGTTTTTGAGCCTTTCTCTGGAGTGAAATGATAAAGATATCTTCTACCCAGCGCATTGCACACAGAATAATGTTCTTTGATGGTACTGAGGAATTGCTGATCTGAATTGTTTGCTTGGGAATTGCTGGTCTGAAAAGTTATGATAATTTTGTAGTTATTTACCAAGCACATCTAAATTATATTAAAGTAATCAAAATACCTTTACAATCTCCAAGGCATGTCACAACTTTTGAGCACCCCTAATGTTTGCAAATTGAAAGCTAAAAAACTTAACATGCCCTGATTAGCTTAGTTTTTTTTAATCCCTTCCTCTCCAATGAATGTAAATACAAACATTAATTCTCTTACTGCTAATTATTCCATCACTGGGGTGAGCATTCCAAAAAGTGGGGGAAAGGGTTATAAGAGTTGCCCTTTTACTCAGCTTCCTCATGAGACAGGTTCCAGAAACCCTCCTCACTATTTGGATTCCCTTAGTTGTTTGGAGTGGTAACCTTCCAGTACTGTGACATAAAGGAAAGCTGAAGTAAAATTACAGTTCAGACAGCCCCAATTGTAATCACTAAATGAGGATTACCTGTATGCAACACATATAATAGGGCTCTATTTCATTATATTCAATTAATAGGAAAAATGCTTCACTTTAGAGTTGCATCATACTTTCTCCATAGACTGCTTTCTTTTGCAACTTTCTGAAATGATCCCAGGACTGCAGATTTGCAGAGGTTCATATTCATCTCAAATAAGTGCTGAAAGAAGCAGGAATCTCTGCTGAGAGCCCACACTGCCGGGAATGTGGTAAGGATTTGTAATGGAATACATGGCTAACCTTGAGGAAAAAGGAGAAGAGATGCTGCTTAGGAAATCATCAGAAAAAGAGAGGCAGGAACCTGCAGTCGGTAAACAAGTCAAAGAGAAAACCTGCTCTAATGGATCTAGGAGTTAAAAGTGGCCAGCAGGAAGTTTGTACCTTCAGACTTATAAGTTAATGTAACCTTGTTTACCAGTGGTGGGATTCAAATAAGTTAACAACCGGTTCTCCGCTCTAATGATTTCTTCCAACAACCAGTTCACCAAACTGCTCAGAAAGTTAACAACCGGTTCTCCCGAAGTGGTGTAAATTGGCTGAACCCCACCACTGGATTTAGCTCATTTGGTCTTGTTCCATGTCTACTTTATCCAGGAGGGCTGACAAGACTTTGTTTTTTAAAAAATATTTTTTGAATTTTTAATTTTTTTAAAAATGAAAACAAAAAACCCCGTGATATTGTATATTTTTAAAGGTCAGGAAACAGCAAATTGTAATCAAGCTTTATTCATGCTAGGATTTGTCTTTTATGGATAATTTGGGCACTGTAGGGGAACTCGGTGTGTTTGAACAGAAGTTTATAGGTGAGTAAATATAATACAATATTTTGCTACCAAATATGGGACCAAAATGATAAGAAATCTTATCATATCTCTTAGCAGTTTCTTTTCCTGCTGTCATAGTATTTTGAGTCGGTGAACATTTTATTCTTTCATTTACTCGGGGCCTGGTGAACAATTTTAAGAAAATCATTATATGAAGACCTAAGATATAAAATGTTTCTCTTTAAAAAGGAATACTAACAAAATTCCAACTGAGTATTTAATTATAAAATTGTTAGAAAGTCTATCATTCTTCTTTTTCTTTTATTTATAACAGTTTTCCTTTTTTCCTCTGAGTGTCAACAACCTTTCTTTATTTAAGACTTTCTAAGTCCCCTTAGAAAGTCCCCCTTTCTGTCTTCCTTATAAGACATTTTTCAGATAATCGTTTTTCACACTTATAATCATTGCAACATCTCCATGATCATGTGATCAAAATTCAGATGCTTGGCAACTGGTTCATATTTATATTGGTTGTAGTGTCATAAGATCAGCTTTTGTACCCTTAATACAAGCAAAGTCAGAGGGAAAGCCAGATTCACTTAACAACCATGTTACTAATTTAACAATGGCAGTGTTTCGGTTAACAACTGTAGCAAGAAAGGTCACAAAATGGGGCAATAACTGTCTTAATAACTGTCTCGCTTCACAATATAAATTTTGGGCTGAAAATTGGGTTGTATGGGTTTGGCCTGAAACCCTGCAAGGTAGTTGCTAGTTGGACTAATGAACCTGATTCAGTATTTCTGGGATAAGATGCTGGTTGCTTAAGGCCTCAAATTCTCCTTAGGCATAACCGAAGGGAAAACAGCATTAGATTCAAGAATTACAGTCCTTTTGATTAAAACAAGAAATATTGTTGAAACTAAAAAAAATGCTCTATGTTCTAGGTAACTTGAAAAATAAACAATAAAAAGGGCTTTTGAATCTATTCCCCATTTCTAGATTGTTTTAAGCTTTTATTCATTTTTGCTTTAGGAAATTGATGGGAAGTCTTTACTGTTGATGACAAGGAATGATGTACTCACTGGACTTTCATTAAAATTGGGGCCTGCACTGAAGATCTATGAATATCATGTAAAGCCTCTACAGACACAGCATCTGAAGAACAGTTCACTATAGTGGATTTTCAAACTGGACCGTCTTTTTTTCCTGCTCTTCAAAATAAACAAGCAGCATTGGTTTTTGGCACTGGAACTTTATTAAAAGCAAAACAACAACAACACAAAACCTGTATGTGTGCATAATGAAATTAAACCAAATGGCACTGAAATAAATATATATTTATATTTATACATATCCTATTGGATAACTTTAGCAATATGCTGTTTAATAAATGAACTGGTAGGGTGTAGAATTTCTCATTATTCAAGCAAAAGATCAGTTCAGTATGCTTCTTTTTAGTAACTCTGTGGAGTCACAAAATTGTAACTGAAAACAGAAATATTTAAAATGGATACACTTGATTTTTTTAAACTATTGCTTAAAACAGAAGGATGACACCTCTGTTGTTGCACAAGGCCCACTAAAGCGCGGTTATATCTTTGCACAGATCCCTTTTATTTCAAATGAATTGTTCCTAATTTGGAAAGAAAATAGGGAAAGTGTTACAAGACCAAGAGACACTTCTAGAAGTTCTGTAAAAATCACAATTCTTTCATAACATTAGCAGCAAGTTTTGAATTTGCCAAAATAACTTTTTTTCCAGAGGGAGCACCTATTTTTATCTTACTAATGTTTGTTCAAGACTAATGTTTTAAAGTTGTGCAGCCAATTTCCTTGAACCTTTTGGGGAGGGCAAAAGCTACATACAGAGGTTGTAAAGGTTTTTTTCGTAAGTTTTTGTTGATCTTGAAAGGGTGTTCTGTGAAGGAGAATTTAGAGAATGTTTGTACTGCTTTGTGAAACAAAATTCATGTTTTAATTTATAACTTATTTGCTAAACGTTTTGTTACAGTTGTGTAAAAAATGTAAATTCCTGCATATTTTTACATACTGCATTTTGTTGTGTGGTAAAGAATTATATTAATATGTAATTTGATTCATGAGCCAAATATCTATTTCTGGAAAGCTAAAGAATGCTATCTTACAACTGTGAATCCCTGCTAAGGGAAGACCTGTAGTTTCAATCTGTTTCAACCAATTCTTGATTTTAATTGCAGATATTTTGCATCAACAAAGATATTACCTATTGTTCTGATTCAGTTTGTTTTTTGACTTTTTCTTGTGAAGAGTCTTGTCTTTTACTGAGTGTCTTTCATGTTAATAATAGACTCAACTGAGCTGATAGGACTTCTGTTCTTTTAAGAACACATGCAAAAATTTATTTCCACTTATGAGAATGTTTTACTTTGGGAAATCTAGAAAAGATAACTTTAAGAAAAAGCGGAAATTATAAATACAATCTCCAGGCCTGTCTCTTTCATTGACTTTATTTCGTAGTTATTCCATCCTTTTTGGTTTTTGATCGCCAAGAAGATTAATAATCCACTCCTTGCTAGCCATCAAAAGTTTAGTTTTATTCTGATCCTGGTTAAATTTATTATGAGAAACAGTATTTTTGAACTACCTGAAGTTACCTTTTAGTTTTTTGAGCTACCTGAAAATATCGGAGCTTGTCTAGAACACACAGATACTACTAATAATATACAGAATCAGTTCAAAAGGTAAGCAATTTATCTTATTGACATGGCCATATAACACTGCAAGTTGTAGATTTTTGAATACTCAACAGCATGTGACATTCACATATTTTGCTAAATTTTAGACCTATGTATTTTGTGTTAGATGGCTTTTTTTCCCCTCCAAGCTAGAGAGGCATAAAATGTGAGGTCATTTCTAAATCAATAAAAATGCACCATTTAGAATTATGTCCCCATGTGAGAATGTAAAAACTTTCTGTCTAATCTCTGCAAATTTCTTTCATGGTGAAATTGTCTTACAGTATTGGTGAATAGCAATTTGTGACAACAATTGTAATTATCTCAGCCTTTTATCTTTACTTCAGCAGATTTTTAAAAGGGAAATATCAGCCTTTGGCTCTAAGTGCCACTTTTCAAAGATAAAGGCTTGAGATATCATGAGAAATGCAAGAAGAAATTATAGGTTAAACATGATTCTTACGCATTAATTGAATGTACTGCTTAAGTGCAATGTTATCCCTGAATTACTTTTTATTTTTACATGTAACTGCTGGCTTGATGGAATATTTCAGCAACTTACGATAAAAATTGAGTGTTATTTGAGCACATCAGGCACAGTTCCTCACCAAAGCTTAAGAGATGACATAACAAACTCTGCTTTAAATAAAATTAAAGACTCATTGGACAAGAATGTTTCAAGTTCTATCATGTTATAAAGATATCAAAGGAAAGTTGCTAACAACTCAGTCTAAATTCTATTGAATTCAATCTAATTTATATCCATGTAATAGCTAAGGAAAGCAATTTGGCAGCAGAGAGCAATCTGCTTGCTCCATTATCAGCTGTGAGGAGTGAAAATTATCCCTGCTAATGCCACAAAACAAGAATATGTGGAAAATCTGTCCTAGGATGCCCAGTGAGGTTTGCCATGGGGTGGCAGATCACTTGCACACTATTGAAGCACAACAAGGATACACTGGAGAATTCCTTGTAAGAAAAGAGAGAAAAGTTAATGGGAACTGGGGTTGAGGGGGAAGTGTTGAAAAAAGAGAGAAGAAAAGAAGATGAGCAGACTGTAGAAAAAAAAGAATCTGTGACAATCATGGAAATAAAGATGTTTAGCTGATGTACTTTTTAAAGAGAATCTTGCCTTTATTGTCTGCATGATATTTTGTATATACAGGAGAACTATATGTACAATATAATGATATAGTGAACCATATTCATATTTATAGTTAAAACATTTCAAAATAGAATAGACCCAGAATTCTTTATTGCCCAAGTGTGATTAGACACACAAGAAATTTGTCTCCAATGCATAAGCTATACATACAAGTAACAAGCAAATTAACAAACTAATTGGCCTTCTAAGCAAATGAGAGAATATAAAAAGTTTTCTGCATGTCTGTACACGCCACTAATATTTTTCACAGGTGGAATCTGGAGGGGAGAGGGTCAAGGTCTTTCTTAATCCCAAATCAGACTTGTTATTTCAAATCAAATAGAATTTCCTCCAAGTTTTTCTTTAAAAAGGGTGGAAGACTCCCAATAACCCAGAAAGGGTATTCCAAATGGGATGAGCAAATGGCACAGCTCCCATCTCTTTGCAAATCTGAGTTTGTTTTGAATTGGGAAGTTACAGAAATGGGTTATATTTGTAGAATGTGCTGGGTTTAATTCATTTTCCTTTGGGTGTTGTATTTTGTCCTTAAGGAATTGTGTGAACAAACTCGTTTGACTAGCTTGTAACTCAAGATAATTGCATGAAAATAGAAGCAGTTTAATTCGCTAACCATTTTAAGGTTGTTGTGTGAATAGAGCTATGTTGTTCTATTACCTTCGATACAACAGCAATCTTGAGAGAAAGGAGTTAAAAAGAAGAGAATGGAGTAGTGCAGTGGTGGGATTCGATTTTTTTTTTTACTACTGGTGCTGTGGATGTGGCTTGGTGGGCATGGCAGAGAAAAGATACTGTAAAATCACCAGTCAGAGGTGGTATTTGTCAGTTCTCTGAACTACTCAAAATTTCTGCTACCAGTTCTTCAGAACTGGTCAAAACCTGCTGAATACCACCTCTGGAGTAGTGGTTAGAAGGTTAGCCATGATTTGGATGGCCAAGATCCAGGTTTCTAATCAGCTATAACACCATGAAATGACTTTGGAGATATTCATATATACAAACAGCCCAAGTTATATCATAGGATTTCGATGAGGATAAATCGAAAATTTTCTCCTTAGTATTCTATTCAGTGAGGTTCAGAATGCTAATGTAACGTTTGCCTTAGAACAATCTTGTGATATAAATAGTTTGCTTGCATAGGCTTCAAGACATCCAAATTGGCAATTTCACCCATCCTGGACCAGTGTGGTACATGTAAATGAGGTCATTATACTTGTTAGAATTTTTCACTAAGGTGAGTTTTGATTGCACACTGTAGTTAGCCATGTTTGAAATGTGTAGTCCCAGATTATTGGGTATTGGCTGAAACTATATGTGTGACCTGATCAAAAATTAATCCTTAATTCAGTTTATTGTTCCATTCAATTTTCTTGGAAAGGTTTTTCAGAAGTGGTTTGCCATTGCCTCCTTCCTAGGTCTGAACAAAGTGACTGGACTAAGATCACCCTGGTTTTGTGACAAATGTGGGATTAGAACTCACTGTCTCCTGGTTTCTAGCCTGATGCCTTAACCACTAACATGCTTTTGATAATATATAGCTAATTTAAATTAGCTAAATATAGTTAACATGAGTATTTACTATTTTTTTTTCATCTTATTAAAACTTACAATGGCAATTTTTTAGATGATACACTCACATCATTGAGTCTCCAGTTGTGTACCCAAGTTGCTTAGTAGCAGCATGAGTAGTTACACTATGCAAAGTTATTTCTAAACATGCATAGAGCCTTCCTAGCCAGTGGACTATTTTAGGGCTAATGTCATCAGACAAATGCTGAGCCCAGGAACCCAAGGCAATGACTGCTCACAGCACACCTAGTAAGTTATAGAATGCCTCCTCTCTTGTCTTGTTCCAATCTTTCAAAAAAAAAATTCTTCTGTGAAGGAATCCCATTCCTGCTTCTTTTCCATTTCAGGCCAAGACCTTCAAGGCAGGACAGAACATATTTGTTATTAGTAGGTCTTCCAAGACATGAGATGAAAATAGCAATAGCAATAGCACTTAGACTTATATACTGTTTCATAGTGCTTTACAACCCTCTCTAAGTAGTTTATAGAGTCAGCATAACAAGAGAATGATGGCTATTCTGAACTTCCAAGGTGTACAACTTCACAGTTTCATCAAGTGGAAAGGGAGAAGTGAATATCAAACAAAAAATACACTGCATGGGCTGCCCCCATTTGTCTATCGTTCATTTCATTTCATCAGCTAGAGCAGGGGTATCAAACTCGCACCATCACAGCATCGCCATGTAACATATTGATACTTTCCCCGCCCCTTTGCTAAACCAGGTGTGGGCATAGCCAGCACGTAACGCATCTGGCCCACAGGCCGTGAGTTTGATACTCCTGAGCTAGAAGCATGATGGCTTAGCAGCTTAAAGATGCTGGATTTGTCAGCTGGAGAAGGTCAGGTCTTCGCCTTCCAGAAATTTGAGCTCTAGCACCATGTGAGGGAGTGATCTCCTATCATTCACCTCAATTCCTGCAAATCTAGAAGTTCAAAAGGATGCAGATGCAAGTAGATAAATAGGTACCATTTTGATGGGACTAACCAATGGGACAAACAACCACTTCAAAGGGACTAACCAACACTGGTCTAAACATGAAGCAAAAATCAGTGGAGGAAAAAGCTCCAGATGTTGCTGACATACTTGCAGAATGCTGTTGGTTTCTCTGGGTGTAGAGCTAGTTTTCCCCCTATGGTGCATCCTAAATAGTGCATGAGTATGAACTGAACAATAATCCTAGGCAGCCAAACCTCTACTCTGTAATAACATTATAGATTCTTAGCTTTCATGTACCAATGCCATATGGTAAATAAAAAGTTCATCAGCTCAGCTTTGTTGCTTTCACCTTTGCAAGATAAGTAAGGAATTGTATGCCTCTAGAATCTTTAATGGTATGTTTATGTTTTGATACCTACAGAGTTTCATATTTAATTGAATGAACAGATTCAAGTTGTTTTTGTCTTTGCTCTTTATTCACCCATAAAACAACTAGAAATTCAGAAACCTTAAAACCGAAAAACTGATAGTAAGGAAACAAGACATTTGAAAAATTCTAATATTAATTCTAGTAATTCTTTAATTGAAAGATAGGATAGAATTTAAAACAGTAAACAGATTCAATTATACAGTCACAGTTTGAACAACAGAAAAGATGATGATGATGCTATTTGAGATTAAATAACTCATATTTTGGAGAGTCTTCTGGGCTTTTTTATTAAAATCCTTGTTGAGAAGGCAGTTTTCATACTTGTTAATAGTAATATGTAGATTTTCTTTGGCGAGTCCCCAAATTGTAAAGTGGCCAACAGGTCTCCCCCCCCAAATAGGTCATATTAATCAAACTCTCCCATTTCATAAGAATACAACATTAGTATATATTGAAGAGGGCGGAGCTGGCATCGCGACGATATGGCATGCAATCTTGGAGGTCTGAGATCGCTGCCGATATCTTTGCTCCTGTATGATCGTATCGGATTTATACCATCCTGAAGAGACGGTGAAAGTGAAGAGTGCATCTTGTCGATCCCAGGGATACTGCAAAGTCCCTGGTAGTTCCAAGAGAAGCTCTTCTTGCCAGCGGCAAAGAGGCAGCCATTAAAGCTGCTGAAGTTGGGACAGCTCCGAAACGGAAGAGAACAGAAAGAGAGAGTGTGCCAGTTTGGTGAGAACTTTTTCTTTATTCTAAGATCTTAAAGGACACCTTAAGGAAAAGAAAGAATCTGTAAAAGTTTTGAAAGAAGTGATTAAGTAGTAATTTTAAACAGGAATGTCGAAGTAATTCTTTTTTCTCGTTGCTGGATTTTCTATACATGATCTTGTATTTTGAAACTGGACTGGTTTTTTCTTTTCCATCTATTTTTATTTTCTCCTTTGTGATTTTGTAACCATTTTAGGCTAGAGACTCCCTTTTAGTTATTTTTTAAAAAATATCTTTTACTTTTTTTATTAATTCTTATTGCATTTTGCTTGGAAAAGGAGGGGGAAAGTGAAAGCAAATAAACTTTGTAACACTGCCAATTAGAGGCTTGGAAATATTCTATTTCTCTTGTGACCAGACAAAGCTGAGAAAGAAAGAATTGAGACTCTTTTTCAAGGACATTGCTATTTGATAAGATAGAGGGAAGAACATGGGAGAGTATTGTTGCAGGTGCTCTTCTGGGTTTCTATCAACATCTGGAGTCTGGTGTTGAAGTTTATAGGAAAAGAAAAGTCATAAGTTTCTGGAGAAGAGTGTTATAAAAAGAGCCTTGGATAACTAAACAAAGTGCAGTGTGTCTTCTTGATTTTTCCTAAGCTGTGCTACCCCTCCTCAACAGTTTACTTTTTGAAATAGCTATTTGGACTTTTAGTTCTTTGGAACTTGTCTTTGCTTTTTTTTTAATGGTTGTCTTTGAAAGTTATTTTTTTACATTTGTTTTTTATTTTAAAAGAAAAGTTTTAGTATTAATGATTCCCTTCCTTTTCTTTTTAAGGGAGTAGCCTTTTTTTCTTTTTCTCTTTTTGCCTTTCTGGTACTTTTGTTTTTCCATCTACCTCCAATACTGGTTTTTTCTTTCTTTTTATCATCCTGGTTTTTTTTTCTTTTCTCTTATGCAGCCTTTTATATTTGAGACCTCTTAATTGGATTAAGGTGTTGAAGAACCTGAAGAATTTTTCCTTTTTTTAGCTTTTTATTCTTCACTTTTCTGTCTTTTTTAGGATTTTACAACTTTTTCTCCTTTGTGTATTTTTATGGTTTTTTCCTTCATTTTTGAATTTGCATTGTTATCTAACTAATCGATTGGATTAAGGTATACAAGAACCTGAAGAAATTCTTTTTTCTTTTTTTATTATTATTGCTATTTGGCTTCTTTTTCCCTACTATTTTTATTTGGAATCGCAATTGGTTGCTTCACAATTGGATTAAGGTCTAGAAGAACCTGAAGATTTTGAATTGTTTGAAATGAGTAGGAAATTAACAACTACTCGTTCTTCAACTTCTACTTCCTCCTCTCCACCATCTGGAGGACAACGTTCAATACAGACAATGTTAAGGCAAGAGAAAGAACAAGAAAAAGAAAAAGTGACCCTGCAGATGATTATGTAAGGTATTCAAAACATTCAAACAAGATCAGAGAATATTGAAAAGAGAATAGAGAACATTGAACAAAGAACAGAGAACATTGAACAAAGAAGAGGGAAAACCGATGAAAAAGTGGAGAGAGGAAGAAAAAAAAACAAAATCTATCTGAGATAATGATAGAAATATTGGCTAAAGCTTTGGAAATAAGTGAAGAGAAGATGATGGATGGAATAGATTAGGTTTATTGAGTCTTCACAAGATACGCAATGAGAAATAGCCTACCAAGAGAAGTTCACATCAGATTTACAAAGAAAGCCACTAAAACACAAATATTGCAAGTGGCAAGAGAGAAAACATTGAAATATAAAGATAAGGAGATTGTGGTTTCGAAACAAGTACCCAGAAGAGTGAGACAGATGAGAAGAGAATACCGATTCTTGACAAAATTGCTACTTAAAAAAGAGGTGAATTATAGGTGGCTGATTCCAGAAGGTTTAATGTTCACATGGCAAGAACAGAGATACAGGATTGATTCAATTGAGAAAGCTGAATCATTTTATACAGAATTTTTCAGAGGGAAAGAGGAAGAGGCAGAAAAAGAAATTTCACTAATTGAATTCCAAGAGGACTGCCAAATGACGACTGAAAAAGAGGAAGGTGCAGTAGATGGAAAGGAGGAAGCAAAGGACAACGTGAACCAAGATCCACGAGAGCTGCCAAACCTAATTATAAAATATAACCATGGAAGAATAAAAAATGATTGCAATTAATATAAATGGACTTAATTCCTCCATTAAAAGAAGGAAAACTTTCCATAAATTAGAGAAATTAAAATTTGATATAATCTGCCTACAAGAAGTACATATTAAAAAGCAATAGGAATAATTGTTGCTACAGCCAAAACTATATTTACCTCCTTGATACAACATTAGTATATATTTCCCTCAAAAAAGCAGGTGTTAAAGGTGTTGGTAAATATCCTTCTCTGCTGTCTTGAAATTTGTAAATGAAGAAAATATCTGTTACAGAAGAGGCACCTAGAAATTCTTTACCCGTTGTTGGAGATATTTTCATTTCTTCCAGTTTAGAACATTTATCCCTAAAGAACAGGTCTCAGAAAGCAAGAGAAACTTGAAAACTACTTATATCTTATAAAGGAAAGGAAAGTAAACAAAAACATTTAGATAAAATTTTTCCATGTTGCATGTGATGAAAAGTCCTGTTCTGAATGATTGAAATCCTTGACAACTTTTTTTCCTACTACAAAGGATGAAGTCTAAAATGAAAAAGGGTTTTTTATTTATTCATTAAATTTATATGTGACCGACTCACTGGTGACTCTGGGCAGCTTACAAATAGTGCCTATAATTTTGGGGGGAAGGAAAGTGGATTAAAGAAAGCTTATCTCAGATTTGTTGATGATCTATTATTCTTTGAAGATAACATGGTATAAGAGAAGGAAAGCTGCGAAGATACAAGTATGAATAACCTAGCATAGGTTTCCTTGATGGTAGAACATGCTGGATTTCAATTTTATAAACTTGAAGAAGTACAAATCTGATGATAGGTTATTGTCTATCCACAGAGCAAAAATTGTGGAAAATTATTGAACAAATTGTTTTAAATGATATGGTAAGCTACTAAAGTATTTTGGAAGGTAGTCAGTCTGGCAATCAGTTTCAAATTTGATAAAGAAGTTCAAGTTGCCAGCCAGAATTTCTGTATCAAATTTACAGGTGTCTGTCTATAATATATGTAAAACTATTTGCTTGTAGGAAACTTAATGCAAGGAAATAAATTGAATCTTACTTACATTCATTAAATATAAGAAGCCTTGTTAAAAACATGGTCTGCAGTTAATGTTGTAAACATAGTTTTTTTCATCTGAGTCCTTTCATCTGGAATTAGATCTTCTGAAATCTTAATTTTATAAAAATTAATTTGGAATCCACTCATTTTATTTATTCTTGAGTAAATTGAATGTCTATATTTAGCATCCATATATTTTGAGTAGAGCTAGATGGTAGTTTGAGTGTGTTTTATCATTATATAAATGCATAACTGTTTACCTTCTCACATGCATTCCCTGTTTGGTTATGAAAGTAAAATGCATGAAAATCACATTTGTATCACTTGAGTGCCAGTCCATCAACCGTCACAGTTATACTATGATGGTGATAGGGAACCTATAAAAGACATTTGTGGTGATACACCAGGCCTCCAGACCCTCTGGAAGCTGCATGGCCTTGCTTTCTCACAGTTTCTGAGGCATACAAAAATCATGCAAGCATTCTCATACAATTTTCTGAGGCCTTGAAGGATCCAGAGAAAGTCTAGAGAAGGGGAGAGTTCAGAGAGGAGGTCTGGAAAGGCCTCTTTTGTCCAGGGTATGTTCGTGAGACACACCAGCAGAGTTAAGGTAGGCGTTTTCTGAACTTTTGACCCACTACATAACTTTTACAGTGTGCAAAACTGTAGAAAGTTGGTCTAATTCAACTTACATAGGCAATACAGAATTTATTTTCGGGTAGGAGAAATTTAGATCTTTGGTGCTAGTCAGTTCAGGAAAGTAATGGGGTCTTAGCGTACAGTTTTCTTCATCTTTTCAAAATCAATGAAGAAAAACTCAATAATAATAATTTGAAAGTAGCTACTGGTGCTTCCCATATAGCACATCTGTTTACTTGATGAGCCCCGGTTAATTGATATAGAAATCCTGCAATGTTACTAAATTGGATCCAGACTGCATTATGTTACTGTAGAATGGACTGTAATTGACAATTATTTCATGGTTCATCATGGTTAGGTTTGGATACAATTACTATGTGTTGTGATGAGTGCTTTGTATTTGGGTGTTGGTTTTCAAAAGAGAGAGAGGGAAAAAAGGAAGTGCATTAAGTATTTCCTTGAAACTCTGCTTGGAAATAATCATCCATAACTGGCTTTCTATGGTAACATGGAGAAAATCATGGAGTAAGTGATGTCTGCTGGTATAATTTCAGTATTACATGATATGATATTTTCAGAAAAGAATGGGGTCTTCAGTAAATTCCACGGCTAAATTTCCACCCAATAAAAGAATGGGGTTTGCAGTCTACTGGCATATGACGCAGGTTTTTTGAACAATCCTTCCTACGCAGTGTGGATGCACAAGCACCAAATGGTGTCTCCTGAGGTGTAAAAATCTGGAAAGGAAAGATGCATACATTTGAATCATATCTCTAACTTAGACTTTCATTATTATCAAAAGAGAAAGCAGGATAATGTTTCTTCCTGCATAGTCTCACAAAGGATATAACTCGACTGGATTTCACCTCCTAGGTGACTCCAGTAATTCAGAAAGAGCTAGATTATTAATAAAAATGTCAGGGTTGTGCTTTACTGAATAATAATCATTTTTCAGATTTAGTCAGACCAGGTAGCTAGTAAAATAAGCTCAACAAATAGATGGAACCAGGAGATAATCTGGACTAATCTTCCGTTGGCTTCAAGATTGTTCAGGTTTACTCCTGTAAATTCAGATCTTGAGAAGACGTTCTTCCACTTCTTCAAATAACTTCCATGATCGTCTTCTTCCAGTGTCAGGAATTCTTGGTGTCAGAATTTTTTTATTTTTTATGTGTTTGGTTCATTTTGTTTGGAGGCTAAGTGACCCAAAGTAGGTTCAATTAAATTTGTATTAAATGATCCCACTCTTCCCAGTGTGCAATCCACAATAATAAATACTGTAGTTTGGATGACCAAGAAAAAGTAATTCTCACCTCTTTGTCATTGCTTATTCCCAGTTTTTCTAAATTTGTCACTGAATAGTGGATGTTAGACAGGATCACTTCTACCTCTTCAATCTGAAAATACAAAAATACCAGTATGACTTATTAAGAAATCATTTATACAGATTTAACATAACAGATAAACTCAGTAAAGTAGACTGACTCCTGATATTTATAGTTTTTGAGTTTGATGGTTTCTTGAATTATATGAAATATTTTATTTTATTTACTTAAATTTATATCCTGCCATTACTTCCAGAGCTAAAGAAAGATTGCAATGAGTTCTCCATTCATTTTATTCGCCACACTATAGAAATTGAGCTTGCTGAGGCTAGCCATAGACATATAGTGAGTTTTCATAGGTGAGGGTGACTTGAACTTGAGTTTCTACTGATCTAGTCCATCATCCTTGATTATTACACTACCCTGGCCCATCAGATATTCTTCTCCAGGTAACCTTTATTCAGAATTTAGGCTGCCAGCTACCAACAGCAAGCTATTTTCAGTGTCTAAAATTCCATTTGTAAAAAAGCCTTTAACCTTGCCAACATTTCAGTGGATCAAATCTATTTTCATACTGAGAAAGTATTAGTTCAGAAATGTACAGTAAAATGTTCTTTATTTTCATGGCAACACCATCCATAGTTGTCATTTCTTAGTTGTAATGGAGTGGGTTTTAATTTATGGCATTTAAAAGTGATCTTGAATTGAAGACAATTTCACCAAAACAGATTAGGTAGGAAAAGCCTCTGCTACTATGCTTTATTTTCAGCCAGTCTAAGATGAAGATCCTTCCTTTATAAAGTAGATGGGGGAAATGGTCTTTCTTTCAGGTACAAGTATATACGTTCCATACTTCCCTAAAGGGTGTTTGGCCCTGAAATAGGAAGAGTGAGTAATATCTTTGCCTTTGTCCATTGGGGAATCATTAAAAAAAAAAGAATGGTCTCCATAACTATAACATAGCATAACACACTGAAAGCCCCAAATGAAATAAAGCTACTGGCCTGTGGGATTCTTTCCAGAATGTATGTCTGAATACAGTTGACTGTCTTCTGATAAGAAGGTGAGTAATGGCCTGTTTCTGGTGGACCAGCAAAAGCATCAAGGATACTTTCGTGAGCAGTTCTCCTTTAAAGTAAAAAAAAAAAACGTACAGCATTTGGAATCAAACTACAATGGGTAAAAACTATACTTGCAAGGCAACACACATGGGCATTACTGGTCAACTTTGTGTACTGTGCCTATTATCTTTATACTGGGGTAATTTTCACACTGAGGAAATCAAGAGATTACAATGTATTACTGTGTTTCCCCCAAAATAAGACCCGGTCTTATATATATTTTTTTCACCAAAAAAGGCACCAGGTCTTATTGGGGGGGGGGGTTTCTAATTACTGACTCACTTCATAGCAACAGCACAGGCCCCACCCAGCAGAAGCCGGCTGCCAGCCCACTTCTTCTGCAGCTGCTGCTCGCGTGTGTCACCCCCGTTTTGCCATCAAGAGGCCTTCCGGAAAGCCCTCTGCAGCCGATAAAAGAGCTCCGGCTCTGTTATCAGCTGCAGAAGGCTTTCTGGAAGGCCTCTGATGGTGAAACGGAGGCTGGGGGCAACACACACATCAATCCAAACCTCGTTTCTTGGCTGCAGAGGGCTTTCCGGAAGGCCTCTGATGGCGAAATGAGGCCAATGAGGCACCACACGTGTCCATCCAGAGCCTATTTATTGGCTACACAGGGCTTTCTGGAAGGCCTCTGATGGCAAAATGAGGCCAATGAGACACCACACATGTCCATCCAGAGCCTATTTATTGGCTGCAGAGGGCTTTCTGGAAGGCCTCTGATAGTGAAGTGAGGCCAGGCGCACATCAATCCAGAGCCTGCTTCTGCAGCCTGTTTTTTCGCTGCCGAAGGAGAATTAAAGGACTTAGCCTTAGGGTCATGTTATAATTTACCTTAAAGAAGACCACATATGATAATTGATTAAAAATAACGAATTAAATACAGTAATCTTTGATTAGCCAACACAAGTGCAAGACTTTTATATGCACAATGGTGGAAAGATAAGACAATACCCACAATGGAAGAGTGAATGGTGAAGATGATAGAACTTCTTCAAATGGTAAAATTGACAATTTTGAATAGAGAAAAGACATTAATTTTAATGCTGATTGGAAAGCCCTTTTGGACTTTTTTGCCTGAGACAGAAAAAAACTGAAATTATGATATATAGGTTTGGTGACTAGAAAACTTAATAGATAACAGGAAAAAGTTATATGACCTTAGAGGAAAAGGTTAATTTAAATGTATCCTTAACAGTTGTTATAAAAAAAATCTTTACATTTCTTTATATTTCCTTTTCTTTCTGTACTTTTGGCTTTGTTCTTTGTTCATTTTTTTCTTTCACATAATTATTATTTTCGGTCAGTTTTTAATGTAAAAAGAATCTAGTTATTACAAATTTTAAAAAGTTATTTTGAAAGAAATGGAGTCAAACCACAAGAAATAAAATGCTTGAAAAAATAAGTCAAGAGTACTGTGAGTCAAAATGATCCTCAAATACAGGTAGTCCTTGACTCCTGACCGCAATTGAGTCCAAAATTTATGTTGCTAAGTGAGACATTGGTTAAGTGAGTTTTGCCCCATCTTACGACCTTTCTTGCCAGAGCTGTTAAATGAATCTCTAGTGGTTAACAGCCCAGTTGTTAAGTGAATCTGACTTCCCCATTGACTTTGCTTGTCAGAAGGCCTCAAAGAGTGATCACATGATTCTGGGACACGGCAACTATCATAAATATGAGTCAGTTGCCAATTGTCTGAATTTTGATCATGTGACCATGGGCAAAGATGGTATTCAGCAGGTTCTGACCAGTTCTGGAGAACCGGTAGTGGAAATTTTGAGTAGTTCGGAGAACTGGCAAATACCACCTCTGACTGGAGATTTTACAGTATCCTTCCCTTGCCATGCCCACCAAGCCACATCCACAGAACCAGTGGTAAAAAAATTTGAATCCCACTACTGACCATGGGGATGTTGCAATGGTCATAAATGTGAAAAACGGTCATAAGTTACTTTTTGCAGTTACCTTGTGACTTTGAATGGTCATTAAATGAACTGTTGCAAGTTGAGGACTATGTGTATGGAATTTTATCACAACCTCCTTAGCAAAAGATCTTCTTATTTATTGCTAGTTTTAGTCTTGTTTTATGTAAGCCCTCTCCTCCACTGTAAAGACATTTCAGAGGCCCCATTACTTATAGGAGAATCCCTACAGAAAGTTTTACTTACCATATGGAATCATAATCAAGGCCATCCAAGCAGTCACCATAGCACCATTTGATGAGTGTTTCCACAGACAACACTCTATCTATCCTTTCTGGAAGTGTGGTGTATCTTTCTTTAAGAAAGCCCTGAAATCCAGATTGGGTTGTTTTCATAAGTTTTAGATCCTTAATGCCAGAAAAAACAATTGGAGGCTCTAGGAGAGAAAAAGCATGAATTAATTTTAATATAAGACATGATATTCCACAGTTACATATAGAGCTTTTTTCCCCTAAAGATGCAGTGATATCTACAAATCAACTTGCATACCAGGACAATGAAATTTATTTCCAATTAAGCATGCATTGAATTGTGCTGGCTGAGTATGGCTGGTTGAAAACCCGAACATTCTTGGGAACTCAAATTTTTAAAATGTATTATATTCCTGATTATGAAGTCTAATAATGGATGCCAGGGGCCAAATAAGTTTAAAAGGAAATCTGCGTGTCAGTTTTGGCATGGCATATTTGGATTAATTTGTATAGAAGCTGAAGTCTCTGCTTTGATTGAACAGATCAAAATTTGCCCTTTTTTTATGAAAAGGCCTAGTAAATCAAAGCACATATCATTAAGGCAACATCATTTTTCTTACAGGCTCCAATTTTATTGTAAATTCACAAAATTATAGGAATTGAGAGGAGTATTAAGATCATTCAACATGCTCTGGATTGATCCAAATACTTAGTTCAGTTCTGATTTCAAATATTACCATTGCAGAGTAATTGTCACCAAAAGGGGCTGTAGCCTATTGTAGATTCTGTTGCCCATGTGCAGTTTATATGTTTACTTATGCTTTTTTTTCCATTGATATCCGGAGTTATCAATTGTTAAGAACCAAATTATTGCACAGATTAAAATAGCATTTTAAAAGATTACAAACATTACATGTTTGACTCACGATCGGTCACTTAACAGGCATTAGAAGTTACAACAAACCTCCCCAAAGCTACATCCCACCAATTTTGAAGTTACATCTCTCTTTCTCTCTCTCTCTCTCTCTCTCACACACACACACACACACAAAAAGACGTGTGTGCATTGCATGTGTGCAATGATCATATTTTGAATGCTTGGCACCTGGTTCACCATTACAGCCATTTGCAGCATCCCACAGTCACTTGGTGCCAATTTTATTTCTGGTTTCTGGCAAAAAAAAATGTGCATTGGATAAAAATTATTCACTTAAAACCCCTGCTAAAACTATAGTAAATTCAAGTCTGGTCACTTGGTGACCCACAACAATGTAGGACCATCATTCCAGGTACAATTAAAGTCATAAGTTGACTACCTGTATTAAAATGATCATACTAGATAAATCCCATAGTATATTACTGGCAGCTTCTGAAGGAGTTGTAGATTTTACAAGAAGATACAGGGTTATAATATATTGTTTGAGTGATTGAATGATTGGTTCGTTGGTTGGTTTCCTATCTCAAAGCAGAATACATCGCAATATCTCTTCCAACTTTTTCCCAGACCAGCAACCTTATGGGGTACACTGTGCTGAGAGAAAGTTGACCAGCCAAAGTCACCCAGGGAAGCTTTCACTGCTGAGAATGGAAGAGCAGGATTTATATATTCAAGAAAAGGGTACAAGTCTGTATTTGCTTTGTTACTTGCTTTTTTATATTGGTTCTGGTCTTCAAGAATAACATGAATGGATTTATCTTGTTTACAGGCTACCATTGCAGATATGAACCTAATGTTTCTACTAAAAAAATTGAAATCATTTCCTTACTGTCCTGAGTCCGTTCCACTTCACAAAACCGAATTCCTTCAGAACTGTAGAGAAAAGCATGCGCATGGGGAGTATTGTCCTAGAAATTAAGGATGACATATTGAAGTTGCAAATAAACTATTTGACCCTGCACTTGGAATTCATACAAATAAATGAAAGCGCTCGCTCACCATGAACTGTTGCTCTCCTTGCCAAGCTATTGTACCACTAAAACTTTCCCTGCCCTCGTCATATGCCATATTTCTTCCCTGCCATTGTCCCTTCCCTAGCTTTGTGCAGGGAATGTGGCCCAAATGTATGCTTCATTATACCTTTTCTAGGCGCTGCCAGGGAACCTCTTGGATAAAGGCATTGCAATACACCACGTGACAAAAGGCTTTAATGAAGTGCTCGCAGATATCCAGCCCAAACTCCTCTATTGTTCTGATCTAAAGAGAAAAGGTGTTAGATATGATCAGGTTCCATCTTCAAATCAGTGTTTAGAATTAAGATTGTACATATATATAGGTACAGTACACACACATATATATGGTATTCAGCTTTGTTTGGGTATTTTCCCACGTCATTATAGTTGTGCTTTTAAAGTTGTAGCAACGTTTCAGCAGAATCTCATCTGCCATCATCAGATTCTGCCAAAACGTTGCTAAAACTTTAAAAGCACAACTATAATGACGTGGGAAAATACCCGAACAAAGCTGAATACCATATATATAAATACCCGTGAAAACTTAAGAAAACTAATATATATATATATACATATATTTTCTTTGTACACACATGACTGCACCCCATTGTATAACACCAACACAAATATTAAATTTGCAGATGATAAGTCAGTGGTGGGGCGCATTATTAAGAACAATGAATCTGCTTATAGAAAGGAAGTACAAGGGCTGACACTGTGGTGTAAAGAAAATAATCTTACACTTAACACCAAAAAAACTAAAGAACTTATAATTGACTTCAGGGGGAAGATTACCATTGTACATAAATGGTGAGGAGGTGGAGAGGGTTGGTAGTTTTAAATTTCTGGGCACTTATATCTTGGAGGACCTCTCATGGACTATGAATGCTAACATGCAGAAGGCACAGAAGAGGCTGTACTTCCTGAGAATGTTCAGGAAGATAAATCTACTTCTGTCCTACTCCTGCAACACTATTGAGAGTGTCATGACATATGGCATTCTTGTATGGTATGGGAGCAGCTCTGTAGTGGACAAAAAAGCTCTACAAAGAATAATTAAAACTGCCCAGAATATCATCGGGCTCCAGCTACCAACCGTTGATGACATCTTCAAATCTTGCTGTTTGAAAAAGTTGCACAACATTCTCAGAGATTCTTCCCATCCTGCTTACAATCTTTATGAACTGGCAGAAGATACCGAACAATTAAAACTCGGACCACATGTTTTCCGAATAGTTTTCATCCCAGAGCTATAGTTGCACTTAACAATGAACTTAAGGACTGCCATCAGTAAGCTGTTGGACAGTATTATTTGGTCTGTTGTGTGTTTTTTAGGAGGCGGGAAATTTTGACGGGTGAGTGTGTGTTTGGGGATTGTCATGTGTGTGCATGTTGGGTCTGGTCTCTGGGTGTTATGTGAATTTCATTGTATGTATACTGTGTATATACATACAATGACATTAAAGAATTCAATTCAATTCAATAAAAGATTTATCATACTGGCTACAGCCCAAAGCTATTTTCATGGGAAATGATGAAATCTGAACTATAACCACTAACCCCCCACTGGCCATTATAAGCTATTGTTGAAATTCTTAGCATTTTTTTAAAAACATAAAAGTAAATTTTATACAGGATTTTTTTTTAAAGAGCAGTGAACCTTGAGTTCATTGAACTAAAGCCCTTTACTTACTTTAAATCTTGACTTCTGCCAAATCAATTCATTTCATTCTTTTTTGTTTATCTGAATTTTATATAGATTTTGTATTATAAAAAGGCAGCATCTCCTACTTTGCTACCTGTGTCCTGCTGCTCTTTGAATTTTGAATGATTCAAAACCTGAAAATATTAGTGACGATCCTTTTTAAAAATAAGCATAACAAAATCATAAGCACTGCAGATTAGACAACCAAGCTATGTTTTGGAGTTTTTATTAGAAAACTCAAGCAAGATAACATAAAATGCTGCCACATCTAATTTAGAAACTTTTGCCTACATAGCACATCTTTTTGTTTATTGCTTTGGTTGAAGACAGATTCTATAAATGACAAAAAAAGAGGAAATGCAATCCAATTCTTGCTACAAGATAAGATGAATGGTTTTGCAACCTACCCCATTGCATTTGGCCAGGGCTTCAATTGTATTCTTTATGGTGTCTGTAGGGATGACTCTGGAGTTGTCGGCATTCAAGTATTCACGCACAGTGTTGAGTCTGATGTGTACAGAGATTTCCAGTTCTTTAATGCAGTGTACCTGGCCTTCCCGTCTAACGTACAGGATTCTCACTGCGTTCTTTCCATATTCAGAATTCACATATTCTACTTCCAGAGGCTGCAATAAAGAAACACACACACAAACTCACCATTTTTGTCCATATAGCTTAGCATTAAAACAAAAAGACATAAGCTAGTTCAAATAAAGAAAATGCACAGACATAATCTCATATTTTTTCATCCATTCAGCTTAGCATTAAAACAACAGAATGATAATCTGGTTCAAACAAATTTGGGTTAGGGTTTAGAATCATCTTATTTTACAAAAAATGTTCCAATTTTGAACACACAAGATGGAAGAAAGATGGGACTATGCCACACTATGGCTGTATGCTGTCCCTTAACTCACGTTTTCAACCTTATTTGTTTCTTCATTTGAATTATATAAATTATTTGAATTTCTAGGTTGCCCAACTCTGGGCAGCTACACAAAATTAAAAGAATAACAGTATGGCGGGCATGGAAGCTAGCTGGGTGACCTTCAGCCAGTCACTCTCTCTTAACCCAAACCATCTCACAGGGCTGTGGATATAGAGAAAATAGCAGGATAAAAGAGTATTAAGTATATTTGCTGCCTTGAATTATTCTTAAAAGTAATAAAGTTGGATAAAAATCTAATAAATTAAATGAATGAATGAGTGAATGAATGAATAAATAGATAAATAAATAAGCAAGCCATCTATCCATATCTCCCACCAACTCAAGTCATCCATTTAACCCAATGCCTGAGGGAAAACCCAGTTTTTTAAGGCAGGGAATATTTCTTCTATCTACACCTTCAACTAGGCTGCTTCAAGGAAAATTGTTGTTGAAGGAAGATTACTTAATCTATATCCAGATTCTCTCCAAAGGTTTGATGCATTTGGTATGTATTTGTTACTTAAGCTATGCCAATGCCTGAGCAAGGAAGCTGCCCTGGATTCTTGGCCCGTATCCTGTTTTTCTCATCCTTCCACTCACTCCTGGAATAGTGTGTGAATAAATACTTCCAAATAGTGGAAGAAATGTTGGGAAGCCTGCTTTAAACACACAGCTGCCATACCCAATTTTAAAGCATCTTTGAATGCACGTGGAGAGACTGTGGGTAAAGCAAACACGCTTTGTCTTTTGCAGCTAGAATTGAAAGGATTGGGTCAGGGAAATTTGCTGCTTACTACAGAAGGACGAGAGGGGGCATAGACAGAGCACTTAATCAGAATAGACAGTTGAAGCACAGCTGGGTGTGTTATTACATGTCATTATAGTATGTTTGGTTGCAGCTGCATCCGGCTGTTAATTTAGAGGGATAATGGACAGCCACGTAGCACATAGATTTGTCCTCCAACAATTTACATTGCTTTTTGCCTCCTGACATCTTCTGCCTAAGGAGCAACTCCACTTTGATAGTAAAGCTCCTGTATAAAGCTATATTATTTCTTTGGAAAACAGTAGCTCAGACTATTAAAAATGCCGCAGATGTTTAGAACAAGTTAACACCTGGTCCATTGCCATTATTGTTTCTTGAATATATCAATTACCTTTTTCTTGCAGCGTACACAGTTCATACTGCTATATTACACAAAAATAAATGCCTTTTAATTTTGCTCGGATGACTTATCCTACCACCATAAAAGGACCATCAGTCCTTTTAATGTAGCATCGATTGTTCAGGAGTGTCATAAAGCATCAATGTCAAATCTTTCCTCCCTTTCTATCACTCTTCTTCAAAGCTTAGTTCTTTCCAAAAGGAATTACATCAAAGGAAGATTTCTATGAAGTATGCTTTTAGCATTCATCGTTTGTTTCCTCCAAGGAAATTTTATTCAGTCTTGTCCTTTTATACATATCACAGAGTTCTTTTGAAGCTGTGTTTATTCAAATGGACATTTTACTTGTTTATTCAGTGTTTTGGTAAATTGGAAGGATGAAACTACTATATATAACCCAATCTCAAATAAGATTAATAATTTTTTAAAAATAAATCACATTAAACCAACTTGCGAGGAAACAGAGCATGTGGCGAGATAAGGTAACCCTACTTTCTTGTAAGGTTACATTAACAGTATGTTGCACATCTCTCTTATCTCACCACCCATCTCCTCTACAGGTAGAGAAACTAGGAAGTGTCTCTTGTAAGCCACTTTCCTCCACATTCCTGTTGTAGGTGAAATTGCCTTTCATCTGTTGGCTATGGCTCTTCATCCTATCACTCCCACATAACATTCCCACAAGAAATGCCTTTATTGGTTACCTGGAAATGCTTTACTCTCATATGACATTGGGTTTCTAGGCGATAAACCAAAGTTTATTTATCATTAAAAAGGTAATGAGTTCTGGAGATAACTTATTCGTAGATGGTTTTCCCCATCAAGTGCCTACCAGATGTCTTGGGCTAAACTCTAAATCAGCGGTCCTCAACCCCCAGTCCATGGACTGGCACTGGGCCATGGCATGCCAGAAACCGGTCCAAGCAAACAAGCAAACCCCCATCTGCAGGAAGCACATGAAACCATGCCCCCTCTGGTCCACAGAAAAAAATCTCCATGAAATTGGTGCCCAAAAGGTTGGGGGCCACTGCTCTAAATGCTACAGCCAGCATGCTGTACTGGAGGTCCTGGATGTTGCAGTCTTAATTTCATTAGATTGGGAAATCTAACAAAATCTAAATTTTCCCTACAATAAAGGGTGGGGAAAACTATGCTTCTCTAACATATCTGCTCATATTTGTATTGAAGTATTTCTGAAAAGTTATAGTTAATATAGAATAGTAAGATGGAAGGAGAGAGGTACCAGAATCAGAAACATGCTCACAGAAGCAAATCAAAAACCAAAAAACTACAAGGAATGGTTTCAAAGGGAAATTCTGCCAATATCCTGCAATAAGCAGAATCTTCTTCAAAGCTACTGAAGGGAGGGGGGAATGTCTTCTCACCTTCCTACAGTTCTGTAAAGAATAAATAGAACAAGCTACCACCTTTAAATAGTAATTTTATTAAAGAAATAGCAATAGTAATAGCACTTAGACTTATATGCTGCTCCGTATTGCTTTACAGCAGGGTTCGCCAACCTTTTGGACCTCAGGGGCCACCAAACTCATAATTTTAAATCCCAGGGACCACTAACTGGTTCTGTGGGTGTGGCCTAATTTGTGGGTGTGGCTTGGTGGTCATGTGACTGGCTGGGCATGGCTTGTATGTAAATATTATAAAAATTTATATAAATATTGAATTTTTTTTATTTAAAGAAGAGCAACTTTTACCCAAAATCCGGCAAAGCAGGCAGGCAGATTGAGTTGCTCACAGAATCATTCAATGATCTATCTATCTGCCATTGGCTAGTTCAGTCTCTCAAATTTGCTTGCTGTGAATCTGCACTGAATAATAAAACCTTCAGTCCTAAGGGAGGTTCGGTGTACTTAAAAGTAGAGCCAAAGATCTAAAGACTAGCTAGAAAGCAAGAAATCCAACCATTTCCTGCTTCCGAGCTAATCTAAATCTCCCAGTACAGCAGAACAGCTGATGGTCGGAAAAAAGAAAAATAGAAATTTAGCAGGCAAGTTTGCTGGGTAAGGAGTGAGTGGGCAGGGAGGGTTCCTGCGGGCCATGTGGGCGGTGCAGCCTTGTGTTTCTGCGCAGCCTGGATTAATTGCTTGGGGGGGGGGTGCTCTGGGGATGAGATTTCTCTGCAGCCCACCAAAATTTTCTCACGGCCCACCAATTGGCGACTGCTGCTTTACAGCATTCTCTGAGAGGTTTACAATGTCAGCAAATTGCCCCCAACAATCTGGGTCCTCATTTTGCTGACCTGGGAAGGATGGAATGCTGAGATAACCTTGAGCTGGTCAGGAATGAACTTTTGGCTGTGGGCAGAATTAGCCTGCAATACTCAATTTCTCAATTTCTTAAACTACAACAAATTTTCTCTTCTCATATTTCATTTCTTATCTATAAAGAAATCCTTTAATCTCATCATTCAGTCTATTCAGCAAAAGTCCATTAAAGATTACCAGATATAACAATATATCTCTTGTAACCTGGATCAAATAAACCAACATTATATTCCTTACTTATACTTTTAACAATCTTGGCTTTTAATCCTTTCAAGCAATGTCCTACAATTTGATTTTGTTTCATTTTTTTTCTAAAAGTCTTCCAAACTTTATCAAGTTTCTGTTATGATGATGGGAATGTTATCCAAGTCACTCTTTTGATTTCTTATTTGTATATCCATTTAATTATGAAAATAGCAGCCGGTTTCATTTGTATATCCTGTGTAGTCACATCTTTCTCCATATCATTCTTGTATCCTATTTCTATTATTTCAAATCAGTTTCAATCTTGTCTGGTAATACCTGTTCCTCTTCCATATTATGTTTGAAACTCAGTCTACCTATAATGGTAAATAGTCTTAAATTAACTACTCAATCCATTGTTCACAAAGTCTTCCAACTTCGTATTTTGTTTCATTCTGTATTAGTAAATAAAATTTAAGTACTTCTCCTTTAAATGTAATCCTTAATTCTTTTGATTTCCTTTGGTGTCCACCCTTCATAGTCCCATCCTATCATTCTTTTTTAAGAATTCAAAACAATAGCATTTTTCTATGGGAAAGATTCTTATAATTAATTTCAAAGTGTAGTTTCAAATTCATCTAGACCTTCAGTCCATTTTTAACTTTCTAAAATCAGGGTTCTAATCTTTTTTGTTTATTCCAAAAAATGATTTTTTTTAAAGTTTAAACTCGTATTTAAAACTTCTTTCATTAAGGATTGAAAGAAACTCATCTAGTACTGCAAAAAAAGCCTTTTTGTTTTTAAAGGTTCTAATAGCCAATAAGCTGCTTAATAAGCAATTTCAAAAAGTAATTAGGAAAGGAAGCATGCAAATCCAGTGTTCATCAAGGATTTGACTGTGGTTTGGATGGAGATGGCATTCTCCCAAAACAATAGATCCACTGGAAACCATTGGCTTGCGGTCTTCTCCCAAGGTGCAATTGTCTGGAGTCTGGACTACTTGTGGGAGATCCCAAGTCGTCTTCTTCAGAGAGGTATTTTGAGGGATTGATCTCTTCATTTCATTGCAGTCATTGGTTTCACTTTTAGCAGAATCATCTTCAGTTCACCATTTCTTCTCCCAGAAGCCAACAAGCTGCAATTTTCCAGTAGGATGCAGATACAGAGACCTTTGGTTTAGATCCCACAAATGTTTTGTGCCCAGCCATTCTCTGGAGATTGGATGTGTATCACTGAATTGAATAGTACACTGGAATGTCAGGGTATGTCTCTTTTATGCTCACCCTGTAACTTGTCCAATGAATGCTAATAAAATATCACATAGGCCTCAATCTATTTCCAAGAAAACTTGGAACATGTCTGTCTAGAGAAGTTAGGAAGTAAAACAATGTAATTTGATATTTCATTTTAAAAACCAGTGGTTCTCAGCCTGTGGTCCCCAGACTCCTGGGGGGCAGGGGGCACAATGTCTTCACAGCAGGTCTATAAAGGCTTGATAAAAACTTGAGTTAAGTCTTGGGGGTCCATGGCCATGGTCCGTGGCCACAAAATGTATTTAAAGGGGTCCATGATGAAGAAAAGATTGAGAGCCACTGAGCTAAACAGATGTGCAGATATAATCTTAACCATCAAGAATATTTATCTTTCTCCAGAACAAAAATGCTTTGCTAAGGCTAGAGGCTGTAAGAATCTGATATTCTGTTTGCTTTTTTCACTCAAAATGCTGCTTTAGGCTGTGTGATTTCCAAGTCCCAGAATTCCACAGTCAAGAATTCTGAGAGTTAAAGTCCATATGGCTTAAAGTTAGTGAGGTTGAGAAACACTGAGATAAGTCACTGCTTTCTGCCCTAAAATCCATTTATTCTGTCTGGAATCTCCATCCTGAATCTACAAATAAGCGCCAGGAACATGTCACCTCATTTGAAGAAATAATCCTTCCCTTTCCTTCCTTTTTTCTGTACTATTTATTTCAATCCAGAGTTCTTGAAAAGTAAAAAAAAACATGGACACTATGTTGGCTTCTGACAAATATATTGAGCAATTCTCAAACCCCTTAGAAAGCTTATGGATGAGGGAATTTCAATGCTTGCCTCGTTATTTGTACGCATCTTCCCTACTGTAGATACAGCACCATTATTCAGCATATCTTTTAACTCATATCATTGCCCAATTTTAATAATTGTACATTGTCTGCCTAAGTGCCCAGGGCTGGTGATTAATTTATTTATGTGATCAGCACATTTATTAGGGTAGTTTTTCAACTCATATAAAAGGTAACATAAAAAAATCTGTTTTTAAATCTTTACGCCTCTCCTGAGATTCTCAGGAAATCCTGACTGTATGCAAAAAAGACTCTGGAGCAAAAACATCTCTCGTTGTACAGGTTTGTGTATGAAAATTACATATTACCTCATCTACATCTTAAAGGGAATTTCTCCTCAGAGAAGGGTGGAGAGAACTGACAAGCATATCATATGTAGGGCTGAGGACAATGGAAACTTAACTTCCTATAATATCGTTCCTGAGCTCGCATGGCAGTTTACAATGGTCTGG